ATGATTAAATCATCTCATTAAAGTTGACATTAGAATTAGAATTGGATTTCATTAAATGTAGTGTAAACTATATCAGGTTAGACTATAAAAAAAAAATATATATATATATAGTTAAGCCACCATTTAAAACCTGGAAGCACTGGACGGCCGTTTCGTCCTGGTATGGGACTCCTCAGCAGTGCGCATCCACGATCCCGCACCATGCGGGGCTCGAACTCAGGACCTACGGGCTTCGCGCGCGAGCACTCAATGGTGGTCTAGCTTCAAATGACTCATGATTTCAACCTGTGAAATTTCTAAAACTCTCTACAAAACCCATTCTGATAAGAAAGTAGGTATTTGAAAATAGTTCACTGATATTAATCAAATCATTACAAAACAATAAGGCAAACTTTAAATAGTTGATTTATTCTAGTTTTAGACCCATTAGGAATATGGACACATAACTATGACAGAGATTAGACCTAGGACTTCCACTTCTATCTGAAAGTACGTTACCTAAGTTTTAATCCGTGAGTTTATATTCCTATCTCAAATTACTTCATAGTACCGTGGTAACCACTTTGAGGTGATCATTATGCAGTGCTGGGGAGTTCTGGAAGAAGAAACAGTACGATATTCATCAATACAAAGAAGGGATCATTTAGTTTGTTGGCCGGGTACATGAGCATGAGTCACATGTGAATTGTGAAGGCTAATGATACTATCAGGTTAACAAGAACGGAGCAGTTGGAATGGGATTTGAACCTATGGCTAAGTGACCGGAGGTGAGCTCCTTTACTTTCAGGTCACCGATGATGATAGTGATAAAGATAAAATCATCTCGTTTCGACACTAAATTGTATACCGTTTAGTGTTGAGTGTATAGTGACGATTCTCATTCAACAATGATCCATAATGTCATGATTTGATCTGTGCACGATCGAAGTTGGGCATCTAGACAACGTTTTCATCCGGTCCAACAATATTCTGTTGAAAACTTCTCCTGTTACTGCTAATAATGTGTTGCCTTCTCCTTGACTATGACAGAGCATTTGACAGCGTGTATATTGGAACCTTCTTCGACACCATAGTGTACCTGAGATCTTTAATATCATTCAGAATTCATACGACAGACTACACTGCAAAGTCGTGCATGGAAAATAGCTGACAGACGTATCCCAAGAGAGGACCGGAGTTAGAAAAGGCTGCCTACTCTCCCTCTTTATCTTTCTTCTGATGGTCGATTTCATTATGAATACCTTGACATCTGAAGGGAAGCACGGAATAAAAAGGATAGGTTGTATGCAGGTGGACGATTTGAACTTCTCAGATCACCTACATCATTTATTCCATACACACCAACAAATTCAAGTGAAGACAGCAAGTGTAACAGACGCCTCTACATCAGTAGGTGTTATAACTTGTGACCGCCGATTAAAAAGCAGCGACTTATCGATCGGACCAATGACGCGTAAACCCGTATGAGCAGTCCAGATTTTTGATTGGTCCTGATTCCTACCTAGCCCAGCCAGTTAAGTCCAGAACACAAGTCTCAGCCTCTGTGATATGAATTATGTATTTCAAACATACTGAGTTTATATACCAATCAAACAGACCACAATGTACCATAAAATAGAAAATAACATTTGTACAAAATTTGGCCAAATGTGACTGTGAATATGGGAGGTAGTGATTAATAGACAGGGAATAATTCAAGAATGCAAGATCGTATAATAACAGTTCATAGGTCAAAATAAAGCTCATAACAAGAGAGACATGGATATGAATAGTTTAGTTAATTAACAACTATACGATAAAAATATACGTATAGTATTGGTCCATAGTGGATTCTAAAAGTCACATTCATTATGCTTATCAGGACCTAACAGTAGGCCTCAACACACACAATAGAAGAGGCAAGATTCTGAAATACAACACAATGAACTCCAACTCAATCACATTCGATGGGGAAGCTCTGTAAGAGGTAGAAAGCTTTACGTACCTGAGCATTATTATCATCGATGAACACGGAGGATTCAATACAGACCTAAAGACAAGGATCGGCACAGTAAGGGTAGCATTTTTATAATTGAATAACATATAAAACTCAAAACAACTGTCTGAACGCTAACATTCAGTCAGAATCTTCAATACGAACGTCAAGACAATTCCATTGTACGGAAAGGAAACTTGAAGAACCACTACAGTTTTCTACTCAAGATACTCAATGTCCGTTGACCGGATATCATCATCAACAACTTACTATGGGGGAGAACAAACCAGCTCCCATCTGAATAAAAAATAAAGAAAGGGAGTTAGAGGTGGGTAGGACATACATTGAGGAAATCACCAAACTACATCACGAGGCAAGCGCTAACTTGGAACACTGAAGGGAAATGGAGAAAGGGAAGGCTGAAGAACACACTACATCGGGAATCAGAAGAAGGCATCAAAAGGATTGATAGCAACTGGAAACAACTGAAAAGGATTGTCTAGGACAGAGTTGGACGGAGAATGCTGGTGAGTGGCTTATGCTCCTCGATAAGGGCTATTAGACATAAGTAAGTATGTAAGCAAGTAAGTAAGTGATGAATGACTAAACGTAATCAGTAGAAAGTCTGTAATGCAGTTATTTAAAGTTAATATAATAGTGTTATCAATTCTTATGACTGTATCGAGTGAATGAAGCTTGAATGTTTGTTATGACATTATCTTTTCCAAGGTCACATATGCACTTGGCTGATAAGCTTTTTTAGTTTATACGCAAATGAATTGAATTATCTACTAACGTTGCTCCACTGCCTCGCGGATTAGATCTTTGAGTCAAGGGGTGAGGGAGTGAGTCCCCACGAAGACCACCTGCTTTGCTTTGGGCTCTCAAGAAGTAATCCATTCCATGCAAAAAATTGATGATTTATGTGATGGAAATATATTTTGGTGCCCCAATGTACCAATGTTTGTGTGTTTAAATAGATACTAATTTATTAGAATTTGTTATTGCTGTCTTATGTAGTGTTGTCTTATATAATTGATTTTTATTCGCATTGGAAAAACGATCTTACTAAAATGGTTCTCTACTTGGACACTGTCATTAATTGTTACCGTAAATAACGATAATACCACTGTAAGGATCAATTAAATTGTAAAATGTATGCTTCATTCATTTTTGTTTTATGTCCAGTAAATACTGATAGCGATGTAACATATTTAGTGAAATCAGCAGTTATAACGCCTGCAAATTGTGACATTCGTTCACTGCTTAAGATCATATAAATCTCAGTTGTGAACTATAACATATTTCAAGGATTTTATGATTTTTATATCCCGCTAAATGAGAACCAATCTCTTTAAACGTCGGTGAAGTTATAATTTATATTTATCAGTTCAAGATATTTGAACTAACTCTTTTACCTAACTGACATTAATACTCACCTACAGTACTTTTTCATTCATCATATCTGAGCAATATAAATTTTAGATTGAATGAAACAGACATCATTAGACCAAGTGATTGAAAAGTATCGTGATCTTTTCAAAAATCAGATTTTCCCTGTTTGATTATGCCTTGAGGTTTCATGCTTGAATTTTCAAAGAATTTCAAATTATATCAAAGGAGCTATTCGTCGTTTTTTGGTTGTCCGTGGTTTATTCCTCAAAATGATAACTGTAATCAAACATCCACAGACAATACATGTAATTTTATCTGTTCAAACTGAACTGAAATTTCCATTTCAGCTTAAATTATTCATAGAACTTTTAATTCATGAAGTCACCGGAAAAAGATTAATTTCTAAATAATGAATAACTAATTATAACAGTTGAGATCATGAGTCAATTGAAGCTAGACCACCCAAGAAAACCTGGAAGCATTGGATGGCCGTTTCGTCCTACTGTAGGAACACTCAGCAGTGCGTGTCTACGATCTCGCCCCGTGAGATTACACTGTGTTGTTAAATTATGAGATATTTTACAACGAAAGGATGATCAAACGAAATTAAAATAATGTCGTCAAAGTGGTAGTTTCTGATCTGCTACTAACTGTAGACAAAATATCAGACACTATTGAAGATGTAACTTCTGTCTACAGTTATTTGTTTAGTCAGGTAGCTTTCACGGATTAGTTTAATGTCAGTCAATCATTGATAATCAACACAGTACCTGGGATAAATCCATCTTTAACCAAGCTGCCATACTACATTATCACCAGAAAAATTAATACAATGAATACTAAGCAAGTTGAAATTATCTGGTAGTAAAGATGGGAAGAAGGAATACGCATTGAGAACATGGTTTGAAAAAAAACAGAATGAAAAGGTATGGATGGAAGAATACTGGAACTCAATATCTATAAGAAGATAAAGAATAAATGAATCAGTGCCATGGTGGTCGATTTTGAGCAGTCTCACAACTTCTTCAACCATTATTCGCTGTTCTCGTATAGACTAAATAATCTACATCTTCCAACACGTCTTAAACCAGCGACCAGTGATTACATCGATTGATGTCAAATTTTGGGTAAAATTAGCTGAGGAATCGTTAAAAACCATATAGCACTAGACAGCTGTTGTGAGCCTAGTTTTGGAATGTTCAGTAATGTAAACCCTGACCTTCCCAGATCTCGAAGCCAGGATTTCCAGATTGTATAACAGACGTGTTACCATTTGGATAGAACTCAAAAGTTCAAATTTCTCAAGGTAAACTTCTTCATGTTAAACCACGAACATTCCTATGTGATGAATCTATTACATGATTGAATTCCATCAAACATAAATTCACTAGAATGACAAGGATTATTATTGAAGTGAGTTATTAATGAATATACAATTATTACATAGTTAAGTAGATTTTGTAGATTAGTTCAGTAAGAAAATTGATTTTCTTTTTCCTAATAGATTAGCATCAGTGTTTTATGGTTTTCAAACAGTTCCTCAGTTGACTTCAGTTCATAAATAAATAAATTAAAAAAAGAAAAGAATAATAATGTACTTTTACAAAGAGTAAATAATTCAAAATGATACCTGAAAATCCATTACATAATTCATCATCATCGCATAGTGTAAATATTTCAGTTAAAGATTTTCCAACTTCATCAGCAAATGATACAGATTTATTTAATTTCATATTATTTTTCGATGTTGATGAACGTGTAATTGGCTTATTCACAATATTATTTACAGGTTCATTGTTTGATTCAATTGAATTTGTAATGTTTATTAAAGGTAGTTCATTTTGTAATTCATTTATACAATTAGAATTTTGATTTTCAGCTGACAAAGAAACTTGATTATCATTTTCATTTGTATTTACTATAAGTGAAAGGCAATTATCTTCGGATTGATAATGTGAGCAAACATTTTCATCATTTGTCTTCATCTCTCCAAAGTTGTTTGTTTTCAAGTCTAAGCTTGTTGATGAAATATTTTGTGCTTCTTCTAGATGTATTGATGTTGTAATATTTGTACTTAGATTTTGTTTATCTTCTTCATTGTCATTATTATTTTTATTATACTCAATATCATGTAAGAATAATGAGGATAAGTTATCTTCAAGTGAGAATAAACCACTTTCACTGTTACAGTGACGACGTCTGCATCGTTTACTGAAATAAGTTTCAATTGTATCCCATTTAGAATGTACACAATGATCAGTATCAACTATACTTGTTAAACTAGCATTTAGTGAATTCGAATAAGAAAAAGTTTTTAATATAGGGTAATGACTACGTCTTCTAGCTTTTCGCTCTAATTGAGATTGTGCAAAAATATAATCCGTAAATGAACGTTGATGGACATTACCAACAAGTTCAGCATCTGTATTGGTTTGACGAGATTTATACATAATAAAGTTCATTAGACGACTTAATCCCAATAATTGTGTTAAACTAAGTAAATTTGCAGAATTATGACTATTAGATGTTTCTGTAAAAATATCAGTTTTCGAAAAATCTTGCATATCTAAAATAAGACTATTCATAAATGATGTTTTCAATGATCTTTCATCAAGATCCATAGTTTGATGATTATTCTTGGACATCCAAGATGGAAATGATATATTATTCGATTCAGTATCCCAATTTTGTTTCATGAATTCCTCACTAGTATTTGATGAATATCCACAATTATTTAATTCTCCAAGAGAACCAGTAAAATTACTTCCCAAATTATACCATTGCCCAACAAGAGTTCCCATTTCATTAATAAATTAAATAGTATTTAATAACGAAAAGTTTATACATGAAATTATTATATTGGAAATTGGAAGGTATCTTCATTATGAATAATATTCACAATCACAAACCTTCACAATAAGTAAATTAAATTGAAATTACATACATTTTAACAAATCATAGTCCAACAGAAGTACTTTATTCTGATTGGTCACTTCTATATAATATTATTGGTCGAAATAATACATCCATTTCATCCAATCCTAAGTCAATACTAAAAATATAGTTCATTATTTGACCTTCAATTCATATGTCTGTCATACTATATCTTAGTCTTGTTTTAATCATTAAACACATGTTAACTAGTACAAACTTATATTGAATAATTCCTCCCTCACCCTTTTGTTTTTTTTTTCTTCTGCAGATGTTAAGTTTATTTATTTATTTATTTTTGGGTCGATTGTAAATATGCTCATATAATAACTAATTTAAAGTACAAATATGTAGTTGACTTTTTGTTGTTGCTTGTAGCTTTTTCAGAGTTACTGATGGTTACAAACATGGATAAAAGAGGAGGATTGGGCATGGGGTCGGAAACCCTATCATGTATAAAAAAAATCTTGCTAAAAAAAACACCAACCAGTTTAAAACAAATTAAACCATTTAAACTCTGCCTTCAGAGTTGAAGGAAGAACTATGATGCCTCAGGATGAAAACCGTGTTCCTTCGGAAGTCACGATGCCGATGCCTTTTCTAACAACCAGGGCAACAATTTTTATAGGTATATGGAATGTCCGGACAATATAAGAGACCGGGAAGGCCAGTCAAATAACAACGGAAATGAGGAGATACAACTTGGAAGTACTCGGAATCAGTGAAACTCATGGGACCCAAGCTGGACAGAAAAAGCTAGATACGGGAGAGATGCTGTTATACTCCGATGATAAAGAGGAAATTGCTTCACACACTCAGGGAGTAGCTCTGATGCTGTCCAAACAAGCACGAAATGCACTTACTTGGTGGGAATCTCACGGATCCAGAACCATCAAAGCATCATTCAAAACAAAGAAGGAGGGGATTTTAATGAATATTATCCAGTGTTATGCACCCACCAATGATAGTAACGACGAAGTTAAGGATTAGTTCTATGAGAGGCTGCAGTCAATCATAGTGAAATGCTCAAGGAAGGACTTTACCATCCTGACGGGAGACCTAAGCATCAACGTCGGAATGGACAACACTAAATATGAAGATATCATGGGACGACATGGACTGATTGGGAGAAAGGAGAGAAAATGGTTCAAGATTTGCAAACGTATGATCATTCAACGAATTGGTTATAGGTGGCTTAATATTCCCACACAAACGCATACACAATGCTACATGGGTCTCATTGGACCACACCACGGAGAACCAGATAGATCATATTTGTATTACTAAACAATTCAGAAGGTCAATGAAAGATGTGAGAACCAGGAGAGGGGCTAACATTGCTTCAGATCACCACCAACTAGCAGTTGCTAAGATGAAACTGTAGTTAAAGAAGCATTGGACAACTGGAGGAAACAGCATTATATAGGTTCAACACGGCGTTCTTTCGACATACTGACAAACTCACCCAATTGAAGATAAATCTCGACAAAAGGTTCCAAGCCTCACATCATCTACTGAAAGAATAAAAAACTACTATGGAGGACAACTGGAAGAGGATCAAAGAAGCATTAACTTCAATGTGTTAGAAGGTCCTGGGCCGTAAGAAGCATCATCATAAGTAATGGATCTCTATCGAGAACCTGGACAAGATTCATGAAAGGAAGAAGAAGAAGAAGACAGAAACTAAAAACAGCCGAATAAGAACAGAGCAAGTCAATTCATAAGATGAATACACTGAAGGAAACAAGCAAGTAAAGAAGAGCATTGGAACGGACAAGCAGAAATGTGTGTAAGGATTAGCAACAACAGCGGAAAAAGCTACAAGAGAAGGAAATATGAGACCGCTATATGAAACAACGAAGCAGCTAGCAAGGAGATATAGTAAACCAGAGAGACCGCTCAAGAACGAAGAAGGCAAGCCAATCACTGAGATTCAAGGATGGACGAACAGATGTGTGGAATATTTGCGGAACTCTTAAATAGACCGGATCCATCAAATCCACCGGATATCGAAGCAGCACCTACAGACCTACCTATATATGTCACTTCACCAACGATCGAAGAAATCAGGCAAACCAAGAGTTGGAAAGCAGCAGGACCTGACAATATATCAGCCGAAGCATTGAAGTCAGACATCAAAGTAACTGCAAGTATGCTACACGTTCTATTCAGGAACATATGGTGGGAAGAGCACGTGCCACAGATAGACTGGTAAAAAGGACACCTGATCAAGATGCCAAAGAAAGATCTGAGAAAATGTGAGAACTACAGAGGCTTCACACTAATGTCAGTGCCAGGAAAGGTGCTCAACAAAGTATTGTTCAACAGGATGAAAGACTCAGTGGTTGCCCAACTTCGAGATCATTAGGCTGAGTTCCTTAAGGATCGGTCGTGCACAGACCAAATTGCGACACTACGGATCATCATCGAACAATCAATTGAGTGGAACTCGTCACTGTACATCAATTTTACTGATTATAAAAAGGAATTTCACAGTGTAGATAGAAGAACATTATGAAAACGTCTTCGATATTACGGAGTTCCTGAGAAGATTGTTAACATTATCCGGAACTCATACGACGGACTGCAGTGCAAGGTCGTGCATGGAGGACAGCTGACAGATGCATTCCAAGTAAGGACCGGAGTAAGACAAGGCTGTCTACTCTCTCCCTTCCACTTTCTTCTAGTGGCCGACTGTGTTCTGAAGACCTCGACATCACAGGGAAAACGCGGAATACAATGGACAGCTTAGAACCAATTAGACGATTTGGACTTCATAGATCACCTAGCCCTCCTATCGCATACACACGAACAAATGCGGATAAAGTCATCTAGTGTAACAGATGCCTTTACACAAGTAGGCTTCAACACACACAAAGGAAAAAGCGATATCATGAAATATAAGACAATGAACACCAACCCAATCACATTTGATGCGAAAGCTCTGAAAGAGATAGAAAGCTTTACTTACCTGAGCATTAGTAATATCGAAGTACATGGAGGATCCAATGCAGACGTAAAGGCGAGGATTGGCAAATTAAGGGCAGCATTCCCACAATTTAGGAAAATACGTAACTCAAAACAACTGTCTAAAAGCCAACATCCAGTCACAATCTTCAGTACGAATCTCAACACAGTTCTACTACATGGAAGTGAACCTCAGAGAACTAACACAACCATTATAAAAAATGTACAAATATTTATAAACAGTTGTCTAAATAAGATATTGAATGTCCGTTGGCCGGATACGATCAGCAACAACCTACTGTAGGAGAGAACAAACCAGATTGAAGCTGAAGAGGGAATTAGTAAAAGACGTTGTGCGTGGATGGGACACACCTTGAAGGAATCATCAAAATGCATCACGAGGCAAACTGTTAATTGGAATGGTGAAAGGAAATGGAAAAGAGAAAGACCAAAGAACACACTGTGCCGAAAATTGGAAGCATGTATGAGAAGTATGTATAACAACTAGGAACAACTGAATAGGATTTTCTAGGACACAGTTGGAGAATGTTGTTGTGTGAATTATGCTCCTCCATGAGGTGTAGCAGGCGTAAGCAAGTAAGTATGGATATTGAAACCAGATTTGTTGGTTCATTAAAATTAATAATTTTCTCTGATGCACTTGAACAATTATATTTAGTGACCCATTATATTTCCTTTATAAGAATTGTACATATATGCCGTCTTCTTAGGATATCATTATAAGGCTCGGGTTTCGAAACATCAAAATATCACTCTATGACGCAAGTGAGAGTAGTTTGCTAAAACGTTTAGACTACCTATTTTACGACTTTACAAGTGTTCTAATAAAAATTCTTATTTCAGAGTAGTTTCAATCGAATGAAAATGAATGGTATCTGTGCCTGTCGCACAGTTTAATGTTGGAAATCTCAAACGGAAACATTGAACTAGGTGGCAAGCTGCTCAGTTTGTTCATCTTTTGAAGAGATTAGATGAAACTACATTTAATGCGAGACATAAAATATACAATGAATAAAAATGGATATTGTAGCAGCCGTAGAAAACGTCTACAACTGAAGATGAGTGGCTGAAATTGAACGTTAAATATCATTCACGAAATGTTGTTCCAAACAATCTGTTGCATTACTACATAATTACTGTTGAGAATTCTATAACAAAATTCTCAGTACTGAATGAAATAATCATTATTATCTAGAATAGATGGATTATGGCTAATAGTATTATCTAAGACGTGAGTTTCACTTCCTTTTTTGTGCATCAATTGATGAACCTGCATTTTCTTGCTGATGTTCACATTGAGACATAAACCCTCTGCCCTTCAAAATCAATGCATTATCCAATAACTTATCGAGTCCAGATAAAAACGAAATCGTTTGACGGGTAAGATGCTTATATCATCAATAGTAAACATTTGAATTATTCCCCTGTAGTTTTGTGTCGTTATTATTATGAATATGTAAGCTGCCTAAACAAACATTACCTGAGACAAATCAGTATATTTCTGACAAGAACTTTAAGAGAGTAGTGAAAAGTTGTTTCTAAAATGAATATTTAACGTATCTCTCTTTTTCTTTTGCTATTTATTAAGGTATATTCTATGGATAAAGGCTCATGCAAGTCAGTTCCTATCAGATAAATTCAATTTTCGGGATAGAATGAGAAAAGAGAAGAGAGTTGTGATTGATTTTTTTTTCGTAATCTTACTGCTTCATTGATCAGTTAGTATAGTGATTTTCTGCTAATTGACGTGACGTTAAGAGGAAAAAAGTGTGAACACTTGTTTGAAAACATATTGTTTAGTAGGATTTCCTAAAATTGCTAGTATAATCTGAGAATGTTATGAATGTAGTTCTTATCATAAATTATCAGACCATTTGAACTCAGTATAAAATTAGATAACTGTTCCTACACGGTACGGTACACTCTAGTTATTCGAAATGTTTCTTCGTTTGTTTGTCGGTTATGGAATTAGTTGAAAGGAAATTAAAACACGATCTACAT